CGAAAGAGTTTTCCTCTAAAAAGCAGGAAAGGTAGCCGCCATAAAAACTTTCTATTAAATTTTTCCTTGTAATTCCAAGGCTACAACTTAAAGTGCTATCATTTTTTCGATTTTCTTTCACTATTACCTAGAGATTTATTTAATAAAATTTCCTTCTCTTTTATATACTTTTGCGACCGTGCTTTATCGGAATTTAAAAAATAGGAGTATCTACATGCATAAAAGTCAAAGTTCTCACTCAATGTGGGTTAACTTTAGCTGAAACAAGTTTCAACGTAGCATTTTATTAATGTTTCGACAAATTTGGTTAGAAAAAAACACGATTCTGGTTATCAAAAACTCAATATACGATATTTAAGCCATTCATTAGGTAATTTTTTCCGTTCACTTGGTAGTGATTTATCGGAAATTCCGGTTTTTAAAATTACAGTTCTTTTCTTATTACGACACATTTAGTTAAAAAAATACAAATTTAAAAATTTAATTTAACTGAATTGATGGTTTTTATGCTATGCTCCAAGGTATCATGATTAAATTACCAAGTCTTACCCATTAAACTGAATTGTTAATTTTATCAAAATCTTCACCAACGCGCTTCGGTACACTAAAAACTTTTTGGTAAACCTAACTTTTTTTGTTTCCATTGAGCCAAAAACACGGTAAATTTTTCCATATTCTGGTAGTTTTGATAATATTTTTACTCTGTACATAATAAAATAAAGCTTCATCAAAACAATTTTTTCATTTGCCTACAAAAATTTATTTCCTTATCTAACTCTCCTCATTTAAAGAAAAAATAATTACTATATTATGGAAAAAATAAATGAGTGCCTAAAATTAAAGGGAAAACAAGTTTAAAATTTGCAAAATTTACATTTTAATGCTCAATACTCATCAATTTTGTTATCACTTTTATCAAAATGATTGTTTGATTTTATTTTGAGTTACTTAAACTTTTAGTTTTCCCATATATCACTAGTCATTTACACTGTAATTACTATATTTTTAAATTTGATCTGACAGTTTTTTGAAGAAAGTATATTTACTTAATTGATCTAGTTCAGGGTTTTTTTAAATTTTAATTTGCTCATAGAGCACACTGAGTGTTACTAGTTCTGTGATAATTATATATTTTACATATAAATTTTATAAGACACTTTTTTAGCAAAAATAAAATATCAACTTAGTTGATCAAATTCAGGGTTTCTGAAATTTGCACACGGAGCACTCATAGCGTCACATGCACTGTAGTAACTAACTAGATTTTTAAATTTTATAAGACAGATTTTATGGCAAAAGTAAAATATCTAGTTGATTTGGTTCAGAGTTTTTTAAACATTTTGGTGTGGGAACCCCATAATATTTACAAACATTTTGTGGGAACTCATAAGCATTGAGCAAATCCGATACATGCGTGAGAAAAACTGTCAGTTTCGTCACGTATAACTGTAATGTATGATAGCAGTTATAAGTCATTAACTTTATTTTTAAGACATAGAATAATGCAAACATCTTAAATAAGTAGAAAACTTAAAAAATTATACACTAAGAAAAATAAATTAAATTACTTTGCTGAATTAAATCATTAACTACACTCTGTCCATTTAAAAGAGCAAAGAGCAAATCAAGAAGGTTTCTATTGCGGAAAAGAAAAACGTCGAAAACTGTAGTGATACTTCGTTTTCGTGTTTTATTTGTTTGTATAGTTCTTTATCTATTGTCAGATGCCTTATTTAAAAATGCTTGGTAATTGCAAAAGTTTTAGTATAAATGATGCAAATATTAAAATTGTTAAAATTTTTGGCAACACTTGTTGCATGTCCCGTGAACTAAATTAAGATCGTGCCTCACAGTCTAAGAAACTGTGACATAGTTGATAGAACCAAAAAGAATTTCACTATCGATATTCTTTTATTCAACAAATTGCTAAAATCCTCAATAGTAATTTATTAAAATTTCATTGGTGATTTATAGACTGTTATAACCCTATACAGTCTACTCATAAGCCCTTTCTTATTGTTTTCCATTAATAATTATGGTTCTTTATCCAAATAGTTTTAACATGCATAGGAATTTTTAGTAGCATGAACCATATAATTTGAAATTTATATTGAACTAGAATTTATAATTTCAAAAGAATAAAAACCTGCGTAGAATATAAATCGGCTGTAGTTTTTTTTTTTTTCTTTTTTTTTTTTTTAATTAACGTTCCTTGTAGGCTGTTATCAAATTTGAGATTGAAAGCTAAAAAATTCTTGTCCACTTAATTAAATTTATTTGAACCAACAAAAAAAATACAAGAAATTGTTAGCACGATTCATCTTATTTTTATAAACAAACGACCTCACAAATTTCAGTTAGCAACCATAGGGACTAAAAATCTAAGAATAATAAAATAAAAAGGAAAAGAGCTTGTTGCAAGAAACATCCGTCATTAGATTACAAAAGACCTTGAAAACTTAGAAATCTCCTCATTTCGTTTTTTTTTTTCCTGCCTGCTTTATATCGTATCAAATTCTGTTTTCAGGAAATTGTTGTGAATTTAAGCTCTTTACTTTATTTATTCAACCAACACTGATCAAAGCAGAATGAAGTGTTTTTAGATTAAATTTTAAGTTCCTTTAAAAGGATTAAAGAAACTGAATCTGCACTCAGAAAAAAGTGAGATCAACACTACCAGAATATGGTAAAATTTACCGTATTTCTGACTTTATGGGCACACCAAAAAGCGGGGGAAATTTTTACAGAATCGCTTTGATAATTTTGTTGGTAAAATTACCTATAAAATATGGTTTTACATGTGTAATAAAATTTTGCAAATATAGTAAAATTTGGTAATTTAATCATGCTTTTTCTGAGCATAGTATAAAAACATGGTAAAAAAATGCACGTTTCAGTTTTGCATTTTTTACTTAATCTGTCGTAATAGGGACTAAACTGGTAAACCTTTACCATATAAGTGACTTCATGAGTGAGTTTTAATTATTTTTAACTTTTCGTATATTAAATTAAGATCGAAAAAATTTTCAATAATTTTCAACAGTTTTTACTTCTAAACATAATTTTCTCACACGGTGAAAAATATTCAGGTAAAATTATCGTGTTGTTAGGTAACGATACTTCTGGTAAAAAAAACTTAGACCTGGTTATTAAAGCCAACATATACGGTATTTAAACCATTAATTTAGTAATTGTTTCGCTCATATGGTAACGGTTTACCGGAAATTCTGTTTCTCAAAATTATAGTTCTTATTACCACACATTTAGTAAAAACTGAAAAAAAAATTTGACCTAATAAGTGGCTTGTATGCCATGCATGGTTTGTATCATGATAAAATTACCAAATTTTACCACATTTACCAAATTGGATGAATATATTTTATTGTTAATTTTACCAAACTCACTACCAAAGCGCTTCGATAAAAATTACCCAATTCTTTTCATTTTAATGGGGATTTTTAGTGTTCCAATAGGGAGAAACAATGTAAATTTTACCATATTCTGATAGTTTTGAACATCCTTTTTTCTCAGTGTAGTTTTCTTTAATAATCATATTTGATATAAAAACACAAAAAAATAATAAAATACGTAATAGGTTTACAAAAATATGCAGTGAGACAGCAATTTCATGGAGCACTAAATACAAACCGTTGACAAATGCAAAAAATTACAAATCAATATTTTTTTACTCATAAAAGCTGATATTGAAAACTAAATTTTAAAAAATATTCTGTTTTTCACATTTTTAGAGATACCAACTTGCTCCGGACAGCAAATAAATATTTTAAAGTGGTAGTTTATCAATTGTCATTCTTGATTTAATAACATTCAATTTAGTAGATTTCTATCCACCACTATTTCTAAGTAATTCGTAGGCTTATATAATTCACCACTTTATAGTATATATACCTTTGCTATACCTTTAAAAACTAAACTTTGCTACCATGCTATACCTTTTAAAAAGCAAGCAAAAATAGTCAAATATTTTCAAAATTTAGTTTGTAGTTATTTACCGTTTTTTAATTATTTTGGCGTGTCTGGAGCAGTTGGCATCTCTGCATTTTACTGATTAAACGTTCAATAAAGGAAAGACAAAACAGAATTAAGGGTCAACAGAATCAACGTTAACTGCGTCAACGAAACAGTATCAAACGTTATCAAACAAAACGTCAAAAAAACAGAATCTATGTTAACTATCTTTCCCCATAATCAAAACTAATTTTGCACGTTTAATTTATTTCCTGTTTCAATTTCGATGAAATGTGACTTTTTTATCATTCCTTAGGAATTAAAAAATAATAATTTTTAAAATAATTAACTTGTTAACAATTTTTTTAAATGTTTTTTGCCGGAGAGAAGAGAGTCTTCAAAATCAATTTGTGTAGTTTTGCCCTTTATTAGTAAAATACCATCCTCTGATTAAGGACAAAACTACGAATTAATACCTCATTTGTTTCATTTTTGTTATTTAATACATAATGGAATGTAAAATTTTCTGACAACAATATTGCTTTACTTTTATAAGAGATCCACAAAAAAACTTAAGTTTTCGTGATTTAAGAAAAATTAAAAGTACTACTTTAAATTAATTAATTAAGTTATTATTTTAGGTTATCATTTGCGGATTTTTTTTTAATGAAATGCATTAAATTAATTGATTTTTTTAAAACGAAACTTCTTTGAAAATAAAAGTTTTCATCCTTTGAAATAAATATTCTTAAAAAATGTATTTAAACATTATGATTATAAAACTGAAAAAAATAATTTTTATCCTCATTGTTAAATTTAAATTCAATTTTTTTTCAGTGCTAGTTAATAACCAGTCAAATCAAGGAAATAATTTCTTCTCCAAAAGAACAATGGCGAAATTTTTACACTTGAAAACGCTACATTGAGTAATTGAAATTGAGCCAGTGTCATCAATTCATATAAACCATCTCTTCATATCAAGGAAAACGCTTGAAATTGGCGATTTCTTTTCTCATCTCGCCAAACCTGTTTTGATCATAACTTTTTTTATGCAACTTTCTTCGAGACTTGTTCAACTTATTACTTTTCGTCATTCAAAGAGTTAATCCTCTGTGATTGAACTTCTTTCAATTTGACCGTGTCACGCTTAACCGGACTTCTCTATACACATGGAAATATTTTAATCAATTACTGCTGATATTGGTAATTATTACTAGAAATTGTCATTATTGTTAATTTTAAATGTTTAATTTCTTTAATTAACACATTGTTTATAGTGTTTTTTAGAATTAAATTTCTTTAATTATTCTTCAAAATGCCCCATTTCGATATATTTTATTATTGTCTGAAGAAAATATTAAATTTGATTAGGGGTAACATAATTATTTATAACCTGAGGTGACCAGATTTCTAAACCATGATTTAAGGACAAATCGATGGAGCGTTCTCGAAACATTTTACGATTCGAGAACATCTTTATATTTATGGAAATTATGAATGTATACAAGCAATTAAGTTTTCATTTTTTAAAAATTAATATCAAATGCAGAATTTTCATCAAACTTGATCTCATTACGTAGCAATTTTGATGCATCATATGATATTTTGCAATTGTTTAACTCCAGTAAAATGAAAAGAGCACATGCTTATTAGTTCTTTTTTACTTAAATTATTTCCAGACTGGTAAATAAATTCTGTAAGTTAGTTTTATCTTGGTACTTTTTAGCTTTTCGCTTGTATTCTCCGTAAGACAAAATTATAGCAACAAAAAAAACTTGAGCATTAGTGATTTTTTTTAAATATTTTACATATAAAAAACAACGACATGTTTCCGGACAAATTCGAAGGCATTTGAGAGCATATAAGATTTGAGGCCATTTTCTGTCCTCGAAAAATGTGAAAGTTTTTGAGGACAGCTATTGAAATTCGAAACCTGCCTTCAAGATTTGAGGACGGCTGGGCACCTTATATATACCAAATTTCTAATAGTTCTTTTTCTAAAATATTTATGAAAACAATAACTTTTCTTCTGATAAAAAAATATTTCTCAAATTCATAATTATATAATCGTATTAATTGAATTAAAAATATTTGCTAAAAAAATATAAGATGCTGGTTTAAAAACTGAAAGTTGTAATTAATATTTTCTTCAAGTCAATAAACACTGACTTTTGGTCAATTAAAAATGTTCCTAAGGAATAATGACATTGAAAAAGAAGAAAAATTTCTTGAATTTTTCACGTTTATGCATAAAAGCTCTATTAAAAATTTATAAGTAGTAATTAAACTATTACAAAACAGTTAAATAAACAAACATTTAATTTAATTGCATTGCTATTGCATTTAATGTTATTGCATTAGTCACACAACGTCAAAATATCATAATGCTATAATTCTTTTAGCAATAAAGGTTTTTTCTTCATTACACCATTTTTAAATGATACCTGAATTTTTTAATCATACTGAAAACTAATAGTAATCCATTTATTAAACAATCTACTTAGAAAATTTAGATTCAACTTCAGACTTAGACTTGATAAATTAATTTAATTTTAGGAGCTGAAAATTTTTGAAAATAAAATAATAATTAGAATAAATATTATTGGAATCCAGTTTCATTTGCAATAATTTTTGATGGCATTCGTTTTACCAAATTATTGTAGAAATTTATGAAAAGATAGTCAATAGAGGAGATAAATTAAATATTTTACATGCTTTAAGAATTATTCAAAATTATTTTAAAAGAAAACATTAAATTGTGTAACAAATAATCAAAAAGCTATTTTAAATATCTGAAACTTTTTTTGATTGTATCAAATGGAATAAAACTAGCCAAGGAAATAATGCACATACGAAATCAAATGCAAAAAAGTACTTTATATGAATAAAATTCTATTTTTTTCGACGGATTCAGATTTTTGATCCCCCCCCCCCAAAAAAAATAACCGCAATCTGGGAAAAATAGTTCCAAACGGTTTGGTCAGAAGAAAGGTCCAAAATTTAAACCCCTTATGTAAATTTTAATTTTCGCGAATTTTGCCACGTCCCCAGAAGTTTCTAAGAGTATTGAAAAAATGTTGCACTCAATTATAAAATTCGTTTATACAAAGATATTTCCTTGCAAAAAATAACTTTCAGCATATATTTATTATTTTTTTTTATTTATTTAACAATCGTCGAGTTAATTTTGAATTTTAAGATACGCGATTTCTTACATCTTTTTGAAGAATGTAATTCAGTATGGCAATATACAAAATTTTGTCGATATCTAACGAATGGTCTCTGAGAAACTAAGTTTTAAATATACGACTAATTTTATACGAATTTATTTTCAATTCGCTTAAAAAATTCACGAGATATTAAGGCGAAAAGTAAAATTATCACTAAAGAGCCCAAATTTTGGATCGCTCTCCTGACCAAATTTGGGGGTCCATCCTGACCTATATTTTGGGAGTCAGAAATCCAAAGCAGTCGAATAAAAGATATCTTGATTCATAGAGAATATATTTTTGTGTCCAATTTCACATCTTAAAATATCATCTACACTAATTAATTAACATATTTGAAGTCACTTCCTCGAACCATTAAGATTGAATCTTAGAACGTGAGGATCCGATCACTAGATCAAAAGTTATAATCAGATTTTTTTTGCGTACTGTACATTACAACAATAACTTTAATAACATATTCATTAGGATATATTTCTACACTTAACAATTGTATTTTTACATCTATGTGAAAGTACAAGCATAATAAATATATATATATATATACANTTTATATATATATATATATATATATATAGATAGATAGATAGATAGATATATATAGATAGATAGATATATATTTGATTAATTAGATTAATTTGTTAATTAGATTCAAAGCAATTCTTTTTATTTTCTTCCATATGATTTCATCTTTTGTTTTCATTTTCTTGATAGATGGTCTTTATACAGATAAATATATGGTGACATGTTTAATCTCTTTTAAAATATAAAACCCAAAGACAAACAATTAAACATTCTATTTTGTTTTTTACTAGTAATACGAAAAAAATAATTTTTATAAACATCTGTACAAAAATAAATAAATAAGCATAATACATTACCACTGTTGATTTTGCAGTTCAGAAAAAAATATAATTAATTTCTCATTTAGTTACCTTGTACAAAAAATGTCACGCTTGTGAGAGGGGGTAACTAGAAGTTATAGTAAGGAGTAGCAAGAAATATGACATATCTTTTGAGTAGCTAAAAGTTTTATTAAAAAGCTTAGCAAGAAGTGTGACTTAAGAACACAAGACAGAAAAAGTGAGATATAATACATTTTGTTTAACTTGAAGTTCTAGTGGGAGGGATTATAAGAATTATGATATAAATGCATAATGGTTCGAATGAAATATTTAAAGTGAGTAAATTAAATGTTTTTACATTATTTTTATGAATTTAACTCAAAATAAGTACACATATATTCATAATTATCTTTATGTTCGTAAACTTCAATAAGACATTAAGCATAAAAATAAATTTTGAAATACGATAGATAACGTAGTGCTTTTAACTGAACTGCAAGAATATGATAGCGTAATAAAGCGTGACATGTGACAAGGAGTACTAGGGGAAATAGTGAAGTGGGGTATATTGTGACATGAGCAAGGAAGAGGTCAAAGATATTGACATTATTATAATATTAATGTAATATCATTTATAGACGGTCCATTACTTTGAAATACGCTTTTTTTCCGTTTTACAGCAGTATAATATATCACGACAATGTAACAAGGAGAGCTAGGGGATATTGTCAATTGTGGCATTTTGTGACAAATGCGAGGAGGGGTTAAAGATGATGTAAAAAATATGATATCATTTATGGATTTCCCATTACTTTTATACATAATTATAAAGATTTTTACCCATTTACTGCACTAAAATATAGCCTGGCATATAACTAGTAGAGCTAGGGGTATTATGAAGTTTGACACATTGCGTCAAAGGCGAGGAGGGGTCAAAGATGCTGAAAATAAGTATAACGTCATTTATGGACTGACTCTTTTTTTAAACTGGAATTATAAAGATTTTAACTCGTTTTAGTGTCGTATGAAAATAAAAATAGTTTATTACTGAATTATACAGATTGTTTATGAGTTCATTCAATGTCAGTGAAAGTAAAAACGCACCAAATTTTTCTTCGTCTTGTTTTCTCTGACCTCTAAATTAAATACTCATTTGACCCTACGCAGCAAGAATGAGATTCATTGAACCATTTGATGTGGCATCTTTCCAAATTATACTCTTTACATAAAAACTAAAGACTCATAAATGAGTAGTAAAAAACACAGTCATTATGTATTGTGCGGTAGTTTCTTTGAATTTTACAAGTTTTTTCAAGAACAATACGGTGTGTAAAAAGATCTCCTTAGCAAAAATTGTTTGCACAAACATTGTAATAATTTTTTCTCAATAGTTAGTGTTAAAGAATACTTATTTGCTCATATAAGTATTCTATATGAATTATATAGTATAATGGCGCTTTTGTATGTATTAATTTATTGAATTAAATATGTAAGTAAGTACTCGTAATTTTCTAGTACTTTTACTATCTATTAATAGTAGGTGAAAACGATTAATTGTAATTTCTTTTTTTTAACTCTAAGATAGAAAATTGCTGATTCTAAGGAATCTATATGACTTAAAATGATCTTGATAATTTTTTATTTCTCCTTCATTTTACTAATTGTTACATCAAGCAATGTATTCGTAACTTCAAAAGAGAGCAAAACATTGTTTAATCAATCCAGTTGTATTTCTTTCGTTAAAAATAAACATTAAAACTGAAATACATTTAGATATAGCTTAACTGGAAAAAGGTATTTATTGCTTTAAAGTCAATTCAAACCAAATGTGTTCATTAGAGCCTAAACCTCCATCTGAATAATCGTACAATTTGTTAGTCTTTCCCATACATATTAAAATATTACGTTTCTAAATAGGTATTAAAGAATTAAAGTAATAGCTAAATGGTTCATATACTTCTCTGCCGAAAGTTTCAATTGGATAAATTTAATCTGTGTTTATCCGAAATCATTAAGTTGATAAAAAAATTTAACCTGGGTTGCATTTTTTACTCTTAGGGAGGTATTTCACTAAATATGTTATTCTATATAATTTAGTTTTAAAATTTAGTTCTATATAATTTAGTTTTCA